TGCTCGGGGGGGGGGGAGGGGGTGCTGCCGCTGGCGCGGAGTCGGCGTCGCCGGCCGGGAGCGAAAGCGAGAACGGCAGCGTTCTCAGCAGCTGGACCGGTGGGGTTAGCGCCCTCAGTCCTCACCGGGTTAGCAAGGACGGAGACGACGACGACGACGAGGAGGAGGAGGAGGAGGAGCAGGATGAGGAAGAGCGTGGTGCGAGCGGCAGCGGCAGTCTGAGAAGTAGCGGGGGTATTCTCGACGCGGCGCTGCACGCGCGAGAGGCAGAGGCAACGGGGCTTGGTAGCGGCGACGCGGGCGAGGAAGCGGGGGGTCCGGTGGTTGTGGTTGTGGTACCCGGTGATGGTTGTTGTGGCAGCGGCGGCGGCGATGGGCAAGGAGGTACGAATGATGGCGGCGATGGTGTTGGTAACGGCAACGGGCACCTCTCCGCGGCAACGGCGCCGGCGCCGGCGCCGGCGGTAAGAGCAGCTGCGGCGCCAGCCGGAAACGAACAAGCGGCGGCGGCGGCGGCGGCAGCGGAAGCGCAGCGACCACCTCTCTGTAGGGTAAGCCCACCAGCACCGGCGGATGGCACAGCTGCAGCAGCGGCGGCACCATCACGAGGCGTAGCGCCGGCACAAGGCACGGAAGCGGCGGCAACGGCGGCACCGATACAAGAATCTTCGCAGATTTTTTCTACGGCGAGGACAGCGTTCAGCGTTGCCTTCGCTGAGACGGCGAATCGTGACGAGCCGCTAGAGCTCGCGGAGGCAGGACGCGGCGCCGTAGACGGTGGTCGTGGCGGAGCTCTTCGAGATGCAGCCCACCCTGCTGGGTTTTCGCCGGAGGAGGACGTCTGAACGATGTCTTCCTTCACCCGTAGCGGATGGATTGCTTCCTCGAGCATCCAAGAGGGACAAAGTTCTCTACTCGAGGAGAATCCATTGACCTGCCTACTTTCCCGCGTGCGTTGGTTGCACCGTGAGGCTGCGTGGGCCTAATGCCATGGTGACTGCCGGGGATGTGGGTCGATTTTGCTTGTCCCAAAACGTGGGATGCATGGGTTCGGTCGTGCTTGGATCTTTTCTGGGTCGAAATATGAGACGTGACTTTCGAGTGGTATATGGATGATCTGATGGTGTTTGCAGAGGTTTTGATTTATCCCTATGCATACGCGTGCGTGAGATTAGAGGGAGAGAGGTTCTGCTCCCGTTGATGAGGGATGGAACATGTTTTGGTCTTGCCTTCTGTTGTGGCGGTAGGACGCATGGCTTTGTCGCAGAGACCTGTTTGGGGGGGGGGGGGCTAGGCTAACGGATGGATAGCGACAGAGACTGGACGAGGGATGGTCAGAGAGATTGGCCGGCTGCGTGCTCTTTCTGCCTGCCGAGCGTCTGTTCTCGCTTGTCGAGAGATGAATCGAATCGCTTAGGGCGATGAGACGATCGCCTGCCTGTCAAGTGCTGTTGCCTCGACTTCTTGTACGGTGGTGGTACCGTCTGGTATCGCTGATGCTGGATGGATTAGAGATGGATGGGATGTGAGCTAGCTCACCATCTTTGCCTGGCCGTCTTTTGTTGTTGCCGCGAAGACCTTAGATCGGAGGAGAGCAATGGCGTAGAACCTGGAACAGTACGATCGAGGGGGGGGGGTCCGGCGGAATTGGTGGCAAGACACTTGCACCAAAACGACGGTTTTCCTTCATGTATTTTTTTCGAACTTGATGGGTATCATATCTTTTAAGGTGTCCTCTACTCTGTTGTCGTTGTATGGCATTGGTTTCTCTCTGAGTGTATGTGTGTTTTTTTTTTTGTCGCTGTGGGTATGCATATGGCGTGTCGCCGTCGCTTGGCGTCGGTGAACTGCGTCTTCCGTGAGAGACTTTTTTGCGCACTTTTTACGTATGTACCCTTTTGCCTGTGTGCTTTTCCGGAGTACTTGTTGCTGCATGTGCGTGACAAAGGCTGCTGTTGGGATCCCGTGGCGGCGGGGGAGCGTGCAGAATGTATACATTAGGTGGGCCTTTCCCTCCGCTCTCCTCACCGTCCTCCTGCTACTTGCCTTTTGGAAATGTCCGCGTTAAGGTATTTGTTTTGATGATACGGATGTCTGCATGGATGGTTACTCTCTTGTTCGTTTGCCCATGGTCAAGTCAAGTGTTGGTAAAAAATGATTCGTGTTTTTCTCGGGCGTGGGGTGTAGGTGTGTTTTGGTGCCTCGTTTCGTAGAGTATAGATGGCGTGAGATGTGAGATATACTGGTCACCAATGATGGCGTCCACTGTTTGAGCGTTTTTAAGAAACCGTCACAAGGTGTGGTAATCTTAAGGGGGGTTTACAGTAGTACCCTGCGTTACCCCCCCCTCCCTCGCCCCCCTCTAATATCTTGATTTCAGAGTGTTTTTTTGTTTGGCCGCACTTCGTAGCACATGTGGTTTCTTCCGTGGCCCGCGGTGCGGCAGTTTTTTTTTGTGTGTATGTTGAGGGTGCTCATCCACGTGGAGAAGACAGGGGGGCCGCTGGATGGGACCCTTCTTTCTTTGGATTCATTCGTCGTCTTTTGCTTTTGTCCTTTCTGTCTTGCTGTGGGGCCGTCCGTCCATCATGAGGTTGCCCGCCGCATCTCGCGAAGATAAAGCATGTGGTAGGAGGCCAAAAGCAAGGCTTTGCTGTCCCCCGACCTACCCTATACTCGTATCGCCGCTGTAGTTCGAGATCGTATTTTAAGGCAACCCTCTTTCTGTGCCGTCGGTAGAGGCCGTGTGTACGCCCGTCATCCGCAGAGGTTGTTGCTCCTCTCCTATTACTTTTTTGGGAACATCGGAGGAGAGGAATAACGGGCAGCAGAGACTACAGGAATATATATGTGCAGTTTGTGGCAGGATTGCTCCCTGGTCACAAGACCGCCACGATAATGATGTTTTCTGTTAAGCGGTAGTAGAGCAACAGCAGTAAGAAATTAGATCACGGCTGCCGCGGAGAAGGATATTCCTAGAAGCTTACCTGTGGTCGGAAACAACAACCAACAACCCCATCATGGCGATGATGGAGATGGCGCACGGACCCTTGTCACATTTATCTCGTCATTGTGGTATGCGGGGGGGTTGTATGGCTTGGCTTTTTTCTGTTTTAGGTGCGGGGAGTTGCTGTTTTGCTGTTTCGGTGGGAGGGGGGAGGGGTTAGTAGAACCAACGAGCGGACGGGGTGGGGTGGGCGTTTTGAAGGCAAGGCCGTTTGTGGTGAAAGGCTGCTGCGCTTAAGGCTCGGCGGCTGCAGCCACACCCACCCGTCTGACTATATGGTCTGCGTACATCGGGGAACTTTTCGTACTTTTTTATGGCGTTCCTAGCTAGCCTAGCTGTTTGTGTCGTGAGTCCCGTGGTATGAATGAATTGGCGGCAGGCTACATCTAGGACGGAGAGTTCTAAAGATACATAACGCTCGGATCTTTTTTAACAAGTTATCCATCTCTCGTGTGCCTTTATTCATTCCAGCATCTGTTTCGTGTTCCCCAATTGACTACATCTAGGACGGAGAGTTCTAAAGATACATACGTAACACTCGGATCTTTTTTAACAAGTTATCCATCTCTCGTGTGCCTTTATTCATTCCAGCATCTGTTTCGTGTTCCCCTATTGACTACATCTAGGACGGAGAGTTCTAAAGATGCATAACACTCGGATCTTTTTTAACAAGTTATCCATCTCTCGTGTGCCTTTATTCATTCCAGCATCTGTTTCGTGTTCCCCAATTGAAAATTGGGGTCTCCGACGCGATTAACCAAACTCGACTTGAGATTGTTTTAGTTCAATGGGATGTGACCAGCGAGTTGCGAAATTCGTTCATGATACAGAAATCAGTGATCATACCTTGTTCGCCTCTTCCACCATTTCGTTCGTTTCATTTACGTACCGTATATGACACAAGATAACACATCCCCTGGACCGATTTTCAAAGCTCGATTACTCCACGACGAAGAGGATGCATAAATGAAACAATACGTTTTCGAACAGCTCTCGACGAGACGGTTCCAACGCCGCCGTTTTCGGCGCTGTGACTCTTCCTGCTGTTGAGAAATCGAGCTTTGAAAATCGGCCAAGGGGGTGTGTTATCTTGTGTCATATACGGTATGTATGTGCGTTTTCGCTACCAAACGTTGTTGTCATGCTCCCATTTTACAGCACTCACTCTGGATGGTGGTATGCATTAGAAAGGAAGTGTCCTCCTCGTCGTCTTCACGGTTGGTTGTGTTTCTTTCTTCCTCGTGGAATTATATGCTAACAATGACACTGAACGACAGTCGCTTCTCCACCGGCCGAAACGTTTATCCCCGTCGTGTTTAGGTATTATTATGTAGCATGTAGCATGAAGCATTAAGCATGCCAACTAACATGTACGAAAGCGTAGCGAAACATTGTCCAGGGAATAACTTGTAAAAAAACAAACAACCCTCAACTCCTCTACGGCCTACCCACTATACGACGGAGGCGGGTGCGCCGTCAATCGTTACCGAATGAGCCCCGTATCAAGCATGTTTTCTCCGCCATTCTCTGTAAAGGCTTCACCACATCCCTTTCGACTGCGGTGCTATCTCGAACGGGTAGTCTTTCTCTGAGTGGTGTATACTTTCGATACCTGTCGTTGTTTCTACGGTGCCGGATCCGCAATGATCCATCAGATACTGATAGGGCGAGAGAGATAGATAGATAGAGGGGGGGGGGGGGGGGTCCAGGGATTGACTTGCTGCCTTCGGTACTACTCTGTCTCGGTCACGCAAGAGAAGAACATACATGCAGACAGACACAGCCCGACGCAACCTATGGCGGCACCAGCAATTTAGCTAGCTCCCAGCCGCGTTTGAAGAACCCTCCGAGGCACAAAATGGCTGCGAAACAGGATGAAATGGTGCTGTTTTGGCACATCTGTCTGTGTGGTGTCCTGTCCATAGTCCCAAGCAAGCGCACCTGGTTTGCCGGTTCTTTTCATTCTACTGTCCTTGCCGGCTGTTCGGATTGGCAACCCCACCCGATACCTTTATCCCCACCGCCCTGTGAATACCTCACGACGCTTCGCGCTTGGTGATGTGCTAGCCTGGTCCGTTGAAAACTGGGCGTGCTCCGTCCCGACGGTAGGGATGAGAGGTCAATGGTCTAACGACTACGGCATGCGTGGCTATGAGAATGAGTACACGCCCCGTGAACAACAAAACTGACTGTCATACAGACGCATTCATAACATGTCTTTCTGTCCCTCGCCGGGCTGAAAGGAGCCAATCGCTGAGAGCATGGGCGTCGAGTTACGGCTGGGAGAGGCTTGCGGATCCTGCTTCTCTCCTACATGTAGTCTTCTCTCTACAAGTACGAATGTGTTGTCTTCTGTCTACAAGTACATTGTGTATCATTCCAAACGGCTTTCACTCCATTGCATTCGGTTCACCCGCACACACACCTCCACCAACAGCCTGCAACACCAGAACCGCGTCATCCCCTACCCTCCGCTGCTTGCCAGTAATAGTAGTGCCGTCCGCGAGTTTGTGTGGTTTATTCAAGACAAGTCGGGTTTCCTAACGGGAGCAATCTCCCAATCTCCCAATCTCCCAAAATTCCGGTGTAGGTGCGTTCCCAAGAAGACAAGAGCAAACTGGACGTTTCACTCCAAAAAAACAAAAAAAAAAACGAGAAAGAGCCTCCGAATGCGGATAATGCAGGGTGGACGTCGTGTCCCATCACAGCAGCAGCAGCAGCAGCAGCAGCAGCAGCCTGTTGGCGTGGTGATCTTGTCCCCGATCACCTTCTTCTCGGCGAGGATACTAACGCCAAATCTATGAAACAGAGATAGGGGGGCTTCGTACCCAAACACCCCAACCTTAACCCGCAACACCTAACGAAACCAAGCTTGATATCCTCGCGCGTAACATTAACCCCAACCTATATAACTCCTATACTAAAACCAACATTAAAATCCTCCCGAAAGCTGCTGGGAAAAAAAGCTCATTGCGTGAACGCGCCCTGGCACGGAGTGGCCACGTCCGCGGGCGGCGCGTAGAGGACGGAGATCATCCTGCCGTGCCGCCGCCAGCAGACCAGGATCATCGACACGAGCACCACCAGCACGGCCACCTGGCACTCAATAAACGCCATCTGCAGGCACAACAGAGCAAGAGTGGAAGGGGCGGGGGGATACTTGCTTCCGTGAACGTAAGGGTGTTGGGGTAGTGTTCCTTCTTGACACTGGTAGCGATTGTGTGCAGCATCAATGCCTGCTGATTCTCCTGGTTATTTTCATGTCCTATTCGATTTGTCTTGCCTTGTCATCGTGCCGTCTGTCTGTGTGTGTTCGTTCCATCTACTCTGGCACCAGTCTCTGCCGACACCGTTCGGAATATAATTGACGTATGCACGCATGCCACTCGGGGGCAAAAAGGGTGGGTGGAGGTTGTAGCAGAAGAGACTTTTTCGTATCGTCCTATCATACCCTTGCGGTGCTGTTAACACCAGAAAGGATTTGCCCAGTTCCTTCTTGGTGCTTTCGAACACAGAAGAGCAAACAGTTCACTCCCGAGAGAGATTCGAACCGAAAAGGTACCATACCACGTGCCATAGGATTACTAGTAGTAGTAGGGTTAGCAGCACGACCAGCTACACAGGACGAAACAACACGTTTTGGGGGGTTAGCAGTTAGCCTGTCACCGACGAACGCTCCCGCGTCAGATGGGCCAAGTACGGATGCAAGAAGGTACTGGCCTGATATCGGAATAGTTTTGAATTCAAAGGCAACAACAACAAACACAACAGCGGGGGCCCCGGCGAATCTCTCTCTCACATGGGGGGTCTGCCTCCATGACATCACCCTCTCGTCTCCTGCGGCGCAGTCCCCGTCGTACAGCAGCTGGTCTGTTCATGGCGCACGACACACGGCAAGAATTAGCAAGTAACACACACACACAGACACACACTGCTTGGTCGATGCTACACTACTGTACGAAAATATTCATACGTTCTACAGCACTGCCGTTCCCGTCTTCAATCCGGAGAATGACCTACCCTTCCCCGTGATATCCCCTCACGGGGCCCCAGGGCATGGCCATCAGAAGCGTTCCTCGCTTTTAGCCGTGCTGATATTGACGAAATTGCGTAGGTCACCCGGTTGGCGCGATCGATGCCAATAATCACGAGGCACGCACACACACACACACTTGTTTAAAAGTGTTTTCCGTTTGTAGTCGCACTGGGACTGACGTATTTTCATTGGTCAGACAGTTAGAGCGGTTGATGCCAAAAGTGAACAAACACACATACACACATGATTTCAGACTTCCTCCGATTTGCGTGCCCCCCGGGGGATCCCGCGGACAAAAAACGGCCATTTCGTTCGTTGCCCCGCAGATACCGGAACTATTTCCTCCATCGGCCTTTGAGCGAGGTCAACGCTCCAAGAACAAACCAACAACCCAACAGACGCATGCGGCTTGGTTCAAGCAAGACAACGGCATGCTCCCACCATCGGAAATAGGGACAGTCCCCCCAGCGGCGACGATTGTCGCACCCACGGTGCCCCCCACTCCACCGACAACAGTCGCCGCCGATGCCGTAGCGTGCTGCTGTTGCTGCTGTTGCTGCTGCTGATGCTGCTGCTGCTGCTGCAGCACTGCCGCTTGTGTTCGGGATTCCTCTCGGGATTGCTGGGTTGAAAACGAGTCAGGGCAATTGAAAAAAGGGACAGACAATAGCTGTTCCGTGATGCGTACATATCACACTTGAGTAGGACGTTTTGAATTTTCTTTCAAAGAGACACCGAATCAATCTTCGATCCACCGGCAAGACTTTGCCATTTCTTCGATAGCGGAGAGAGTGTTTCATCATCGGCCTGTTAACTGCAGTGTTGCCGGAGCTTGCTTGGAACAGCGTTAGGACTGAGGACTGAGGACAAAGGGGAGCCGGAATCGTTTCATAGTCAGGTGGAGGTATGTAGGCATGCCAAGACGTTCGCACGCTTTCAACTCCGGTTAGGACGTTCTCAAATCCTCGATTTTCTAAAATTGCACTCACATCGTCCTCCTGCTTCTCTTCCTCCCTCACCCCCCCCTCAACATGTCCGTCTCTATTTCCTAGATCCGAAAGAAAGGACATTGTCAGCTCGAGTGGGGGTAAATACGCCTTGGTTCACCTCAGCCCTTGCCTGGGTGAGCGTTTTGACCCCCCTCCCCCCACCCCCTCGGCCTTGTTTGCCATCGGGGTTTGGGTTGTCGTCGCTTGGCAACGACGTTGTAAAACAAGCCGCCCCCCCCGATGTTTGCCATCGGGGTTGGGTTTTCGTCGCTTGGCAACGACGTTGTAAAACAAGCCACTCCCTCGGTGTTTGCCATCGGGATTGGTTTTTCGTCGCTTGGCAACGACGTTGTAAAACAAGCCAATTCACTTCGTGAACTCGGCAACCAGGTTACCGTTTTTTTTTTACCACTGTTTTTTTTTCTTGGCGGTAACCATAATGGTGGTCGAGTAGATCATGTTGTGCGGGGTGGAGAACCCTCACTCCGCGCAAGGGGGATGATCGCACCACGTTGTGTTAAAATGGTCAAGCATCCTCGAGGCAGTTACACAGTGCTTACAACTGTCTCTGGAAGTGAAAGCACCAGAAAATAAATTAAGTCATACGTAGCTGTCATCCGTACGCAAGGAAGTAAGCACGAGATGCCGAACACCCTTAGCAGGATGCAGCTCACCCTTCATGCGACTCGCCTAATACCTCACGGCGCTTCGCGCTTGGTGATGTGAGAGCCTGGTCCGGTGAGAACCCGGCGTGCTCCGTCCCGGCTTTGTAGGGATGCGAGGTCAATGGTCTAACGACTACGGCATGCACGACTATGAGTCCCCCCCCCCCCCCCCCCCAGGGGGGGT